ATAAATAAGCACACCCCTTTTTCCTCTTCTTCTCCCACAACCCCATCCCGTGTGTGTGTGTGTGTGTGTGTGTGTGTGTGTGTTCCCTCTGTCTCTCATAGGCATACCCTGGTTAGCTCTGTGGACAGATTCTGGAAATGGGAGCTCTAACTGAACAAGAGCTATAATGGACCCATTATAGCACAGTTACTATGAAGACACATTCCAAAGTAACTGATTACTTCTGATAAATATACTATTAGGGAACACTAGCTCGTATCTCTAGCCTCTGTATCCCTTAGTGTTACTCTAATGGAAGATTTAGCATTACGATCATCCATCTGACACAATAATTTGGCTTAGCCAAATTCAAATATTCAAAACCCAGTTTTCCTTTAACATTAAAACAGTCCAAATCAAATTTACTAAATTTGATGTTTTCACACAAATTACTCACTCATGTAATATGCATTTCTGATTAAGTCTGTCCAAATAACTTTCCTTTTCCCTCAATTTTCACATTATTTTACCCTTTCCTCTTAAGACACATCATATTCTAGATTTTGTTCACAAGCGTTAGTTCCATTATAAGATCGTTATCCCTTGAGACTCTAAGAGACATTAATATAAAGAAGGTGCTCTATAAATGTTTACTGTATGAGAGAAAAATACATGTGAAATATTTCAAAAGTGTGAATATGACAATTATACTACCCTTAATTTCCCTTAGTCTTATCACAAGTCACTGAAGTAGCTGTGATTATGTATCAGTTCTGTGACTCTCTGTAGAACCTCTAACCTCTCTTGGCTTAAATTTCAACCTTCATAAAATGAGAATAACACGTAATTTATAAGAATTTAAAATGAGAGACTATGAGCAAGGTAGCAGGATACAAAATTAACATACAGAAATCAGTTGCATTTCTTTACACTAACAATGAAACAGCAGGAAAAGAAAGTAAAGTAACAGTCCCTTTTAAAATTGCACCCAAAACAATAAAATACTTAGGAATAAATCTGACCAAGGAGGTGAAAGACTTATACATGGAAAGCTACAAAACACTGATTAAGGAAATTAAAGATGACTTAAGAAAATGGAAAGATATTCCATGCTCTTGGATTAGAAGAATCAATATTGTTAAAATGGCCATACTACCCAAAGCAATCTACAGATTTAATGCTTTATTCCTGGATTTAATTTCTGAAAGCAAAGAAGAAACTGACTGGTAATGTGGAAATGACAGAAATCACGGGAGAAAATAACCATGTCAAATGACAACTTATTGAGAAAGTGCTAAGTACTAAGAAACCAGGAACATTAAGTGAATCTGCAAAGAGAGAGCATAGAATGGTTGAGAACTTTGCAATCAGCCCAAAAACTAGCTCTATAATTTACCAAATTATGTGACTTAAGTAAAGGGTATTTTATTCCCATAAAACTATCCTCATCTGAAAAATGAGTTCAATAATACCTATCTAAAAAGATGTGTTAGGATTAGAATTAAGATACTAAAATGTTCTGCATGTAACAGAAATGAATGAATATTGTGTAAGAAAGGTAGTGCTACCTATCTGACACTATGAGGAAAGAGAAGGAGGGGAAGGAAGAGGAACAGGGGTGGTGGGCAGAGACGACAATGACAACAGCACAGTTGAGTTTCTCTAGGGCTATAACAGTATCTTTCATCTTAACATCCTCAACATCTAACACAGTGTCTGATACATTTCAATGAATATTTGTTTAATCGAACTACCTACAATTTGAAAGAAGTTAGCAAAAAACAGTGGTCAGAGAATTAAGAGTAAAGTAATAGATTTTGTGTGTAAAAATCAAGTAGAGATAATTCTAAATTTTCAGAAAGTCTTACAGAAAACAACAATCAGATATAAATGTAGGATTAAAGATATGTGTTTATTTTAATGAAGACTTAAATGAGGAAAAAACAGAGAAGACAGATTTTAAATGTGAGATAAGAGATTAAAATTGATGATGCAAATTTTCTGTTAAAATGATTTCTGACCAACAGATCTCAAAGCAACATTTTCCAACTTCTTAATAAAATGCCCAAGAAAACAGGAAAAAACAGACAAACAAACAAACAAAAAACCTACACTGCTAGACAAAACTAAAAACTATAGACATCAGATGCCAGAGTTCAGGAGGAACTACAGTTAAGTATGAGGCAAATGGAAGTAAACTAAGAAATAAAAAACAATCCAACATATTAAATAATACCCTGATGTCTTTACTTATGAAGCACAAGTCACATGGAAAAGGAAAGCTGGGGTGAGAGAGGGAAAAATCACCTTTCCCTGGATTTGAAGACCTACAACCTAAAGCAAACAAAAAAGGCGATGCTACCCTTATCAACACCACGTAAGAGTTAATCCCCTTTACCCGCCTGCCCCCAACAGCACCTTTTAAGATCTAGACTACAAATCGTTAAGATGTAAATTGTAGAAAGTGGGGAGTGGTAGAGTACATTCCAAAATGTACTCTAGGTTGAGGGGATAAGAAGAATCCTGGTAGCAGTACATAGATGAATTGTAGTTTTATTATACTACAGGTCTGAGTTTTAGAAAATCAGTCACTGGGGAACAGAAAAAAGTTCCCAGTTAAATAAAATTTTAAATAAAGTATTGGCAAAATCAAACCCCCTAGTGAAATGATACATCAAACAAGCAGAGTTTAATGCCAAAAATGTAAGGATAATTCATTTTTTAATGTATTACATTACATTTTAAATAGGAAAAACAGTATGATCAACTCAATAGATTTATAGAAGTGAAAATGCAAATGGCCAATAAACTTAAGCACAAATTCAAGGGAGGATATTGCTCAGTGGTAGAGTACATGCCTAGCATGCATGATGTCCAGGGTTCAATCCCCAGTACCTCCATTAAAAAATAAATAAATAAAAATAAACCTAATTACCTTCCCTCCCCCCCAAAAAAGCACAAACTCATTAGTAACCATAACTGATGCAAATGAAAATTATGTTTTCTGATCATGAGAATGACAAGATACTTAGGACTGATAACAGCAAGTACTGTGAAAGGAAACAAATAAGACTAACACAATCCTGGTAAAAGCTTAAACTAAGTAGGTACATTCTTCTGTGTGAATTCTATAATTTTTACCTGCTTACAAGTACTGGTACTAGAATATAAGGTTTTTACACCATGTGTCATATTGTGTTAGCATTCAGCTAGTCCAGTGGTTCTCAAGGCTTTTGGTCTCAGGACTCCTCTCCAACCCTCAAAACTAGTGAGATCAATGGTAGACAGAGGCTTGAGAAAGGCTGACTACAAAGGGGCAAAAGGCAATCTAGGATAGGTGATAAAACTGTTCTGTATCTTGATTGTGGTGAGAGTTACATGACTGTATGTGTTTGTCCAAAATCATAGAACTTTAAGGGGGTGAATATAATGTATGTAAATGAAACCTTAAAAGAGACTTGACTCAAAAAAAGAAATTCTTTAAGATTTCCAAAGAACTTTTGTTTATGTGGGTTATCAATATTTAGTATATTAGAAATTATAAGAAAATTTGTAAATAGTTCTTTATGTCTTCATTATTTAAATAATAAATGCACTAAATGTTAACAAACAATATATTCTTTATGAAAAATAACTATTTTCCAAAGCAAAAAACATTTAGTGAGAAAACTCACATTTTCTTAGTAAATCTCTTTCATGTCTGGCTTCAAGTAGAAAACAATTTGGTTCTCCTACCTGCTTCTGCATTCAATCGCTTACAGTATGGCAGGTCATGTGGCCTCTGGAAAACCCCACTGAACACTTGTGAGAAAGTAAGTGTGAAAAAGACAGTATCTACATATTAGGATGAAACAATTTTTCACCTAGAAGTGTCAGGAACCCCAGGGGTTCCTGGGCCACACTTTGAAAATCTCTGACTTAACCTATACAAGAAAATACTAAATATTGAGTATGGCAGAATAATAAAATGTACTTATTTTCAAATCAAGGAAGCAGTCTCCCATGCAGATAATCTATCCTGATTTAATACACTAATATTTCCCCGGTCAAAACGTCTACTAAACAATGATTTGGACTGAGCTACAAATTTCAACTTCAAAAAATATTTCTGAGGTCCGAGGATTTAAACAGTTAAGTCCGTAATAAAGCAGCACCCTCAAGCCCTCACTCACTGACTCTAGACAGGCAGAATAAAGGCAGCATGAACATGGAGAAAGTAAGGCAAAGAAAATGCCTGAGCTCAAAGAAACAGGAGACCATAAAACAAAAAGTCAGGTAGAATAACTGCAAAAGTAAAGCAACACATGGGCGAACATATTCGGAATGTGAAATACAAGAAAAACAGATATTGCTCCTTAAAAGAACTCAAAACGCTGTATACAGACACCCCCCTTCTAACAGACAGTGAAACTATGCTAAATGGCACTTCTTGAACCATGTCACTCGTATGACCGAAAATGGGACTCCACCGTCTTCTCAACTACCACTGTGTCTAACACGCCAAGCGAGGTGGGAGAACTCCGCGTCCAGGGGAAGGTACGGGTGCCTGCTCGAGGCTTTTTATGTAAGTGGTTTACGCAACTTTCAGACCCGGAGAGCCGTCCGAACTAGTCACTCCCCCATGCGACTAAGTCAGACGCGCCGTTCCTGGGAGTTCTGTTCCCAGGTCACTTTAAAACACTTTCCCAGGAAGCGCTGGCACCACCCGGCTGTCCCGGGCTCCGCAGCGGCCGCCCCGCCACCTGTCCCCGGGTCCCGCCCGCGGCGGTGGGGCGGCCCCGCACTCCCCTGACGCCGCCTCGCGGACCCGGGAGCGCCTCCTCCGACGAGGACCGGGACCGCCTCCCTCCGCGGCCTCAGCTCCCCCGTCTGCACTCGAGGGGCCGGACAAGCCGGCTCTAGAGCCCCTCCAGCTCCACTACCCGGCCCCGGGCGGGAGGCAGCCCGGCCGCTCACCCCGCTCAGGCGTCCTCGCGGTGAGACGGCCCTGAGGGGGCTGGTCTGCGGCGCCCCGCACTCACCCGGCTGACGCTTCAGCGCCATCACCGACACCAGGTAGTGAGCGATGTCAAAAAAGGGGAACATGGAAGTATGAGAAAACGCAAGAGTCAGCTCATTCCAAGGAAAGTCCATCGCGACGACCGAGCGCGGCAGCCGGACGGCCGCAGCGACGGGTTCCCACTGTACGCGAAGAGGCGTGGGGGAGGGGACGGCCGCGGCCGCGCGCTCTTTGGCGCGGCCTCGAGGAGCCCTGCGCGTGCGCTCTGGCGCCGGCGCGCGGAGGGGCGGGGCCGCGTGTCCCGGGAGCCGTGGGCGCGCGGGCGTTTGGTGGGTGGGCGGGGTGAGTGGCTTACCCCGTGCTCCCGCGAGGCAGTCCTTGCTAATAAGAGTACAGCATCTTCTTCGTGCTGGGTACTGTGCCAGACCCGAGAGAATGGGCAGATGAATACAACATAAATAATGAATTTTAAAATGCATTATGTATGTGAACTTTTAGTGCATTTATTATTTTTAAAACGAATAAAGAACTACTTAAATTTTTTTCCCAGTTATGTCTAATATGCTAAGTATTGACACATGGAACCCAAATAAAGTCTCGAGGACTCTTTGGGATCTTCAAGAACCTTTTTTAAAGTTTTAACTTACATACATTTTATTCATCCTTTTTTAGTATAAAGTTCTTTGGTTTTGAATAAGCACAGTCTGCAAGGGGAGACGTTCGGAGTCAGATTTATTTCTGTAAATTGATGTCATTCACCTAACATTTCTAGAGCAACTACAATGTGCAAGTCACACTGTGCCTTATTCGAATGTAAAAAAAGAATATGATAACATCCTGCTCCTGGAAACGTGTTATCCCAAGGGAGATTACAAAGCAGGCAGGAAGAAGTACAGGTGCCGTGGTAGGGTAGTTCCAAGGAGAGGAAAACTATATCAGAGAAATGGTCAGGGGAACTGGCCTCTAAAAGCTAAGTGAAAGATGAAGGGAAGTATTTTGGCTAGACTACAAAGTGAGAAATTCGCTTTAAAAACTCCTTGAATGACAGACCATAAACTGGACGGTTTAGCCCCGGAGTCCAAGCTCCTGATCACTACATTTTATGTTCAGACAAATCAGAGCCAGAATACAGTCTGTTAACCATTATGCTAAACTGGACTTTTCTTTGGGGGAGATGGGGTACAATCAAGCAACAAGATTAGGAATAAACACAGTCTGCAAGGCGAGATCTTGGTGAGAAGAGACTTAGAGCCAGGCGGTAATGGAGGGTATTTACTGGTCCAAGCAAAAGGTAGTGGAGGATGAGGACAATTGGAACTGGGAACCAGATGGGGGAAGATGCAGTAGAACCAGAATAGGCTGGATGTCAACTCAGCCTGTCAAAGAAGGATATGGGGAGTGGGAGAGTAGGATTATGACTGCATTCAGAAAAATAGGAAACAAGGAGAGGAGCAGACTTGGGTAAGAAAAACCCAAATTTAGTTGGGCACATTTTTAACTTGATGTGTCACCAGATCATACTGACAAGAGGACACTGGAAATACCTATTGAGCTGCTAGATATGTAAGAGCCACATGGGAGTAGGAACTGCAAAGGTAGACTTACACTGATTTTTTAAAATCTAAGAATTTATCTGTTCATTTTAATTCATTTAACAAGTGCTTTTTGCATACGTGCTATGTACCAGGCATTTTGCTGGCTATCAGAGGCCCTGCCCTAAACACTAAATGTTTAAAATACTGGAAATAAATTGTAGCTAATCTCTGTATTTCATTATTTATCAAGAAAGGATAGAGTTGCTAAAATACTTTTCTTATGTGGTTTTCCAAGCAAGCACTTTCTAGTAGAGAAAGGCTTTTAGGCCTCTAGCAAAACTACAGGTAAAAAAGGCAACTCCTGTGATTACTTATACTTTCATATTTCAGTTTGTTCTTTCCATACATTTCTTCATCTTTGGAATTACAGTATTACAAATTTAGAGGCAGAACTTGGATGTTCTTTCCCAAAGGGCTTTAGCTCTTTAATGTCTTAAATTCCACAAAATATGTGTTTTGTTCTTGAACTTAAAAAAATACTATAACATCTCTAAATCATATGTCTATGCCAGTATCATTCGGGAGTATAATTAAATTCATTATTAAGAGCAATAGGGCAATAGTGAAAAATCAGAGATTTTTTTAAAGGTAAATAAAATATTTTACTTATCCTAAACAGATTAATTCCAACAGAAAAGAATTCATCATCTCAGGCTCTATAAGTAATCTGAAGCTTGTTTCACTTCAAAACTGTAAAATGTATGTCAGGAGTCTGCTTTTCTCTCACAGATTCCAGATGGGCCTCTCTTTTTTGAGGCACAAGGGTGGGTGATGGAGAAGGCTGGGAACCTCTCAGACCCATGAAGGCTGGGCTAGTGAGGATCAAGGTGAATCTGTCTGGTTAAAAAAAAAGAACGCTGTAAAAAATTAGCTGGATCCCCTTCAGCTTAGAGCCTAAAGAATTTTTTTTAACCTAAGGGAAATGAAATCATCTCATAAAAAGACAACCTCTATCTAAATTTTAACTGTGCTCACTGCATTTGCTTCTGGTCAGTGCTTTGGTTATTTAGTCTAATGAAACAGGCCAGAGCAGAAGGAAGTGGGCAATTAAAAGAAGGAAGACTTTGAATTGGTAACAGGGAAAGGTAAGATTGAGGGAAATTATGTGTAAAAATTAAAACTTTCCCTGACTTTTGGAGGCAGTTTACAAAGTTGCCTAATTATTGCAAATAAAATGAATCCAAATTATGAAATATTGCTTAATCCATTAGAAAGCAAAACTGGTCTAATTTACAAACATCTGAAAAAGAGTTTTGACTAAATATACTTGAAGTATATTGAGCTTAAAAACATGTGAAACCCACTTTTATTAACTAGTTTTTCAACAGCAATACTATTGACATTTTGGGCTGAACAATTCTTTATTATCTTATAGGATGCTTAAAAGCATCCCTGGTCTCTATCCACTAGATGCCAGTAGCACATGCACACACATACACACCACCCCCAACTGTGACAGCCAACAATGTCTCCAGACATGGCCAAGTGTCCCTGGGGCAGGGGGGCAAAAATGCCTCTAGTTTGGAACTCCTTTATAAATGAATAAATTATTTTTTGGCAGCACGTTCTTCTATTTGTACAAACATTATGGTCCGGCCACTAATATTAGTCATCAAGTTAATTCTGCAAAAACTCACATAACACTTCTTAGTCTCAGCTTGATCCTCCATCCCTCAGGATTAAGTTAGCAACATCCCGCAACCCAATACCGCAAAGGTAATACTAGCTATTTCTTCTCTGCAATACTGCTTTCTATCCACTGAGTGGCATGCCTTTCACTTTGGGAGACCAGTAGCAATAACTTTTAAAAGAAGCACAAAGAGTCCATGATGAAGAAGTTTCATATTAAAAGGGTCAATTACACTTCTAAACTTTAGTGTTCTTTTTAGGCATTTTCACTCTACAATTATTTTATAGGGATTTGATAACTGTGCCTTTTCAAATTATGGTGTAGTAATACTTGACATTTAAGACAAAACATGTTTAAATTCTATTTTTTTAATGATCAGCATTATCAAGGAGAATTAACCTAAAGAGCACCAATTGCACTGATAATACCCACTGAACTCAACCTGGACAATGAGATGCTGGCACAATGGGATTTAAGTGATAAGCCAAGTTAAGTATACACTCAACTCTTTAGACTTGGTGTGTATCTCATAATACACGTTAATATGGTGACTTAGATCATATGACTTGGCTCACTTATTTCTTGCACTGGAAACTAAAGTCTTTTTCTGTAAACATCATTTATACCTCTAAGATAAACTCTTAAACTAAAAATATTCTCCATGTGTAACAAGTGCAAATTTACCTACTTAAAGATCTGATGTTATTAAAAAGGAATGTCTCTAGTGTTCATCAGTGTATGGACTGCCAAAACTGCAGTCACCCACTGGTGCCACACCTGTCAGGTGTCCATGGTTAACAGCACTCAAAGTTACAATTCATCTCTGTTCAAGAGTAACAGGTACCATTAAATCAAAGAATAATAGAATTATGGAAGTTAAATGGACCCTTTTTTAAAAAGTACGTTGGGTCGAAAGTCATAGAAAATGGTTCTGGGCAGCTTAAGCAAAGTGAGGGATTTACTGTGAGGCTATCAGGGAACCAGCTATTAAACCCCAAGAAGAGCAAGAAGTTGGGTATTTCTGAGGCCAACAACAACCGATGGGTGTGAGCTGCTCTCAGTTACTAATGACAGTCAGTGTCAACATTGTTCAGTCTCAGTGTCCCCCTATTCAATCCTGCCAGGAAAGACAGCCTGCCCTGGCCTAGGACAGACGCCCTCTGCTGGTTAATCAGTTCTGGAGGGATGCTGGGTCACAAGGACCCACGGCAGCCCTAGGTGTTAGAGGCAGTGTCCTGAGAATGGAGGGAGCCGGGCAGCCATCACAAGAGGTGTCTATTACAATCATTTTCTTTAGACCATTTATTTCAGAGTAGGAAACTCAGGGCTAGAGAGAGACCACAAAGGCAGGCAGTGACAGACCAGGATTTGTTATTATCCTGTTATAGTCAACCTCCCCTAAGTTCTCCCACTGGGCTTTCTCTTGTCCGAATACTTCTCCTAAAGTTGCCTTTAACTGACAGATCCAGCATCCCCACAGCAATGAAAAGGCCACAAGATGAGAGCTAGAAAGGCCTAGTAGGAGTCAGAGCCCTGGATCAATAGACAAGATTAAAGTAGTCTATGGTTTCCAGCATAACCAGTTTGTTGAAGGGGCTGAACTCTGTGGAGCACAGTCAGGAAGTGGATTTACCTCCCTCCAGACAAAGCCCCCAACTCCGATCCTATGTTAGAATTCCCTTTCCCATCCTTTAACATTATCTCAACAGATGATCCTATTACTTCTTCATCATTTAAGATACTAAAAAAAAATTTTAATTTTTAAAGTCCAGTCCAATCCAGTTAAAGTGTCAATCTTGCATCTAATTCAGAGCTTCTCCCCCTCCAACAGCTCAGGTCTGCCTGGCCCAGAGCCTGCAGTGGGGCAAGGGGTGTGGGGTGGTCTTCTGGCCTTTCCATCATCTGTGTCCTCCAGGGTCAAGGTAGTAAGTAGGGGAATTATAGAAAAGGAACAAAAGGCCTTCTAGTTCACAAGTGTTGGTTATAGATCTTGTTTTCTCTTGGCTGTTGA